GCGACACTTGTTGTTTACTTAGTGTATCGCCAGTCTAGTAATAGCACTCCAACACCGTTTAGTTCAAAGATTTCCTGGATTTACAGTGGGTTTTCCTGGATTCTCAGCGAGGCAAAGGTTAGAAGATATCTAAATATGTAGTATATTTTCAAATTACAACATTCACCCTTGTAGAAGACATTTTAAAGTTCAAAAGAATGTGTTTACGCTGTGTTGTGCTATAAATAGCTCTAGTTAGTATTTCATCGATTTCCAGCAGTTTTAAAAAGAGTCTAATTTAACATATTTTGATTTGCCCAAAAATATTTTTACATCGATGGAAATCCTATCTTTCGAAGTACCATTTAGCGAAGTTTCAAGAAGTTTGAAGGTTTCGCACATGGGGAAAACATTTCTTTACTTAAGCATATTCCGRGCGGATAAAAACTTACCCAATCTTTCGAAAAATATAATTTCTCCCCAAAATATATTTTTTGGCTCAAAACGASAGASAGTAATCTTTTGATACTTGTCTACAATACTATGTAAAGAAAACGTCTTTAGAAACGTTTGTTTTGATAAAAACGAGGGTCAAACTTAAGTTAAAATTTGGTTTGTCAAATGGGGATTCATTAGGCGTGATTTTTAAAAAAATTGTATCTGTGTACATTTTTAATATTTTTCTAAAAAAACTACACCATTGCTTTAAGTTTATTAGTGGCTATCTATTGTAGAAATTTCAAAGGATTCTAAATTTTGAACCTTGCCACGATATTTAGAATTTGTTTGATTTTCCCTGACATCGACTCTTAAGTCTTATCTTAAGTTAAACTTCTTAAATTGAAAAAAAATCTTTTTAAATTAAGGTAAATGTCGATAAACAATTTTTATAGCAAAAACCTTCTGTAAATTATAACTAAAATAGCATACAAATCTTTAAAAAAGGAATTCCAAGTGAAAAAATGTCAACAAAAACAAACGCTTCGGCGAGCCTCGGCCGTGTTTTGAAGGCAAAAACTGTGCAAGGAAAAATGTAAAATAAGCTACATTAAAACCTYTTTAACTCAAAATTTTACACATACAGCAAATATTTAGATGGTAGTTTTTTTACATTCATTCATTGATATCGTGTAATTGTTCTAAAAAAAAAGTAGAATTTTACCTTTATAAAACTTGTACTGTACACTACGACTTTCGGGGAAAAACTCGTCGTCTTCAGGACGACGGCTACAAGATTTCCTTAGTTGCGTGACACTGTAACACTCGTGCACATGCGCAGTTATGACAAGTCGAAAATCTCGTRGTCGTACTCGGACTCGTCGTCGTATCTGAAGCTCTCTATTAACGTGTACCGAGCGAGCGTGAGTGTGTGTAAGGACAGAACGACGATAAAAAAAATTAATAGAAACTCACAGAAAAATAAGCATTTTTCCAGATAAAAAATTTAGAATATTTCGATATTTTGTAATTTAGAAAAAGCCATTTTAGTTCGTAAAAAAGCCTCGAAATGAATAGTAATGCGCTTATGTACGAAAAAAGTGATCTATTTTGTACAAAATCGCCAAAGGACGGAGCGTTATTACAGAAAAACAGWGATCAAGTGATCAGTTTTGACGTTTGGCGTTCGCTGTAAACGGGTATCAAAACTTATTGGTCACTTTTAATCCCAATGGATTTACTTTCACCTTCTCTAACACATCTCTTACTTTAATTGTTTATTTCTCATTACCGTGACCACATTGCTCCTATTGGTCTACTTTCTTTGCTCCTCTCATCAAATAAACTCACACTTAGCCTAGTTTCATCTCTTTACTCCGGCGAAGGATTRACGTCCGAAACATCAGTAAGTTGTTTTTGCCTACTTTTTACGGTATTTAATTCATCTTTGTAGATAAAATGTCTCGATTAAGTGCGTCAAGGACACTTTAAGTTAAAAAATAACAACAACAATAGCACGAATTCGCATAACCCACTGCGAATTTGTTCTAATGAAAGTCAAAAGTTTTGTTTCCCGAGTCCAGATGGCCAGTTCATATGTTACCTATGTCTTCTTTAGTCCGAATTTATGGGTTTTCCCCTCAGGGAATGTAACAGCGCTGTAACTGACATGTGATTTCACCTTGCGAACATCATGTGATTTTTTTCGAAAGGTTTGGCAAGAGAGCAAGCTAATATGAATTTCCAATTTCATCGGTGAGAAGACGATAGGGTTATTCATTTTGCTGACCCTAAATGTCTCCGCTGTAGCAGTGCCCCTCAAGGAAGATGACAGTTCTTAGTTCTAAATATGTGTTGTTTTTGTAAGGAGTTAATGATACGTATCATGTTTATGCAAATCCGTTCAGGTAGTTGTCAGAGTTAGTAATTTTTTAAATGTAGTAGGTTGTTGTCAACGTCTCGAAAGAGTATATGGCTAGCAAGATTTAGACCTACAAAACCGCTCGTAGTTGTCATTTTTAATCTATTTCTTTTTTAATTTGTAACTTTTTGAATCTATGTTGGAGCTGCATTTGTTTGTACATTATATGAATTTACAAAATTAAAGTTATAAAACATCAAATCGTCTGGGTAGGCTCTACACTAAGTACAACTGCTGAAGATAATGGTCTCTTCTTTAAAATTGCAAAAGATCAACATACAATATTATACATTGTACCTWTTAATCAAAATATGTTGACTGCTGTAGCCTTCTGCTCTTTGGTCTACCTGGTAAACTCCTTAACAAACTTCAATCAGCTGTGCAAAGTTCTGCTGAAAAAGTGATCACACTTTCAAGAAAAAATGAAATCAATATTAGACCCGAAATCTATTTGAGTCCAGGCGTCCTAGGCTCCCTTCCATATTTTCCTCAGGGTTTGTTACAGCGCTTTTACTGACTTGTGACCTGAGGGTGCGCCCATCATGTGATTTCTTCGAAAGGTTTGACAAAAGAACAGATTAGTATGAATTTCATTTTCATCGGTAGCAATATGAAGGTGACAGTGTTGTTCATTTTGCTGACCCTAAATATCTCTGCTGTCGCAGTGCTTGTCCAGGAAGATGACAGTTCTGAGCAGTGTTCCAAAAAAGACCACTCACTTTGGAAATATCCTATAGGCGACCCTAAATATTGTATTCACGGTGGTAACAAAGATTTGCTTCGAATGGAAGTTCTGCCCGGAACAGGCTGGGATAACCTGAGAAACTTGAACATGGGGATGGTAATCTGGAAGAACTATTCTCAGTGTTTAACGAGTGAGGATGGCAAATACCTGATTCCTGATAATACTTATGTCGTCCCTCTAAAGGAAAGCAACGTTATCTTAAATTCTGAATACTTCGATCATTGGAATAACTACTCTTCGATGACATCAAATTCTATAAACGCTGAGGCGCATGGATCTATCTTTGGAATTGGAATCAGTGGGAAGTTCTCATCGGAATACGAAGACGTGAAGAAACACCAAGTTGAAGATAAAGCAGTAACCACTCGGGTTCAGCTAAGGTACAGATTTTACACTGTAAAGACTCAGCCTGACATGCAGCTACATCCCGATTTTAAATCCAGACTACTCGATATTGCTGCTAATTTGCAGTCTAATAACACTGCTATGGCACGGTATATGGCGGACTTGATTGTTCGTGACTATGGGACTCATTACATTACAAGTATTGATGCAGGGGCAATCCTAGCCAAARTCGACCACGTAAAAACTACATACGCTGCTACCTTTCAGATGGATAAAAGCAAGATAACTGCATCAGCGAGTGCTTCTTTCTTCGGCTCCTTTGGAATCAGTGCGTCTTACACTCGACAAACGGAAACGAAAGACTTGGACACATACTTAAAAAACATTGCATACTCACAAATGCACACGTATGGTGGATCAGCTTATCGAGCAAACTTTTCAATCAACCAGTGGGAAGATTGTTTGTCAAATAACCTTGTTGCCGTTGACAGGTCTGGAGATCCCTTACACTATGCAATTACCCCTGAAGCACTTCCTGAGCTACCAGAGGCTCTTGCAATGGATCTTAGTCTATTTGTTTTACAGTCGATTAAAGATTATTATAAGCACAATAGTATTAAAGGATGCACCGACGCCAGCTCGCCGAATTTTAATTTCCAGGCTGTTTTAGACGATCATTCATGCGAGGCTCCGTACAATAACTTCACGTTCGGTGGTCTCTACCAGCAATGCAGTATATCAGGTATGAAGGATGGAGTCTTATAGATTTAATTTCAAATTCGAAAATAAGCAGTCTTTTCATAGCAGGGCATTGTCGTGAAAATAGAGCATAACGCTATACATTTATCTAAAAGGTTCACCAAGTAACAATCATTGTGGAGCATTCCTACAGAAAAACCCCAAGACAAATGACTACACATGCCCAGAAGGATACAACGCAGTACTTGTTCATCAGGGGCTGACTCCAACGACATGCCATCGTGAATGCCATGGATGGTGGATATTCAAGAGTTGCCATAACGATTGTGGATATGCCAACTACCTTACTAACTGGTGTGTGGCCACAGGTAAAAATCACCTTTCCTTTTTTCCCCATTTTTATCTTGCGAAACAAATTTCCATTTGCGAAATATAGCCAGGATACGAAAACGACTGAAAAACTTATTCATGCATGTCTGTTCAAAACCTGACTACTGTAGCCTTCTGCTCTTTGGTCTAAAAGGGAAAAGGGAAAAGGTGTTGGTTGCTAATCGTCCTTCATGGCAGCACGGGTGCTGAATTGCGAAAGACGCAGCTCGACGCGCTTTCAAGTCGAAGTGCTATATTACAGACACATTTTACATACACTTACACATAGGCGTGCTGCCGGCTAGGCGCTTCCTTTACATAGCAACGAACGACTGAACGCGGAGCACAGCAGATAGAAATGGTTCGTTTTTACTGAGGGAGGAAAACCCGGAAAGACCCGGAAAAACCCTCGACGCAAGGGAGAGAACGAAAGAAACTCAAATCACATTTGGCGCCCCGACCGAGATTCGAACAGGGTCCACAGAGGTGACAGGCCAGCGCTCTCACCGCTCGGCCACCCATGCGTCTACCTGGTAAACTCCTTGACAAACTTCACTTTGTGCAAAGTGCTGCTGAAAAAGTCATCACATTTTCTAGAAAATAATGAAATCAATATTAGACCCGAAATCAATTTGAGTCCAGGCGTCCTAGGCTCCTTTCCATGTTTCCCTCAGGGATTGTAGTAGCGCTTTTACTGACATGTGACCTGAGGTTGCGCCCATCATGTGATTTCTTCGAAAGGTTTGACAAAAGAACAGACTAGTATGAATTTCAATTTCATCGGTAGCAATATRAAGGTGACAGTGTTGGTCCTTTTTGTTGACCCTAAATATCTTATTGTCAAGGAAGATGACAGTTCTGAGCAGTGTTCCAAAAATGTCCACTCACTTATCCTATATAGGCAACTGGTGATATATTCAATGATATATTTTTTCTCTCTCATTATTAATTAGTAATTATTCTTTAAAGGTTTAGTGAAAGATTATTCTGGATATTTGTTTGGTGGACTATATAACAAGATAAGCGCAAACCCTCTCACCGGTTCTCCCAGCTGTCCCCCGAAGTTCTATCCTCAGCGGTTCGGTCCTGAAGGGATGTATGTGTGCATCAGTGATGACTATGAGCTAGCTGCTAAGTACTCGCTTCCTTTCGCCGGATTTTTTAGCTGTAGTGCAGGAAACCCTTTAGCATTTAAGAACACCGTGGTTGGACTGTCCSATGAACGAGGTATGCATTATATAGAGGATATTACATGGGCGCGCGGAAATACGATTTTTATCTTGGAATGTTGAAAAGATGGTGAGCGTAGCGAAGAAGATACAGTACCAGAAGATAAAATTCGTATCTCCAAGCGACCATGCAATATTCTGTTTATCATATGATTATATCAACGAAAGCAAATGATGTTTTAAAATAATTTTTATTTACCCCCAAATATATAGAGATGACACGAATGTGTTATTTTTACTAGTTTTACTAGTTTTTACTAGTTATTTTACTAGTAAAAATAATAAGTTGTTATTTTTACTAGTAAAAATAACAACTTAACGTAATGGAAGAAATATAGGTATTTTATAGATAATTATATGATAAATTATATATATTAGTTCACTCTGTTTGTTTACTGTCGGCACTGTGCATGCAGTGAACGGTAACTGAGACAGCAGGTAAACTAGCGATAACCGTTTGCTATATAAGCATGTATGCAATTTTTAACCTTAGAGAACCATTCATGCAGAAGACTTTTAGCCGAATTCGAGTAATAAATTATATAAATTATGCTTTTGTTCCCTGAACGCCATATAAACCATATAGATTCTTAATAAATTCAATTATATGGCGCCGCACGGCCCTCGTATAATAGTGGGGGTCATTTTAAAATTATTTTCAAAAAAACAAAGTCGTTTATCAAAATAATTGTGTGATGGATCTAATGTCTATGAAATGTTCTTTCGAAATGTTGCTTCAGGTGTGTGAAATTCAAAACCTAAGGTGTAAAAATAAGCAGGAAACCCAAGCCAATATTTAGAGAAAAATCGCGATATCATGACTGTAAAAAAACGCAATAAACTTGAAAYTCAGCAGTAATATGCTGTATATTATACGATATGCTACTTAATATAAACATTTAAAATTAGCCAACCCGGAGAAAAAAATTGTATCGTTTTGGCAAAATCGATATTTCGTCTTTGGAAGGCCATAGAAGACAAACAGTATAACGATGAACTGCGGGCTGGCTAATTCTCAAACTACAACATATGTGTTAGCTCTGCTCCAAATATCTTTTTAAAGGCTTAAATACAACTGGAGTTATTCAAGAACGCGTGCTTGCTGTTGTCGCTGTGTGGTATTTAAACCTAGTTTAAACTGAGAGAAGTCGCACAAGTCTTCAGCAATGGCGATCATTTTGTTCCTCGTGTTCAAAACAGTTGATGACTTTGTATTGACTTGAGGACGAACTCTAGTCGAAAACGCCGARAATTCATCGGAATCGAATCGTTCCTGGCTTCCCGCGAAAATCTGGAAAAACAAGTGATGTAATCCATAGTAACACTACACTGAGCATGCGGAGTTTCATGTAACACATTATTTTGATTCTAATGAAACTTCTTCCACTGTATTCGAAACTGGAGAATTGTGAGCAGCAAAAAGCGATCTTGTAACCGAATACTCGCGTGTTCCAGGTACTGAACGCTGGTACTTTGACCTCTAAAATGATCAAGATGTGAAGCCGTTATCTCGTTTTTCACAAACAAGGTATCATATTTCCCCGCGAATTTATGCCTGGATACGAAGTTTTGGGTCGTTTTTCTCATGAAAAAACAATATTTCGATGATTTAAAACATTCCTTAGTTATTATGTGTACCTAAAAGAATCTGATTAACGCTAAAAAAGTTGGGTATTTTTTTAAACGTTTATCCAGAACTAGTAACTTAATTAGTTCTAGTTATAATTTATAATGGTATTTAGTAGCGTGCTTTTTTTCATATTTGATGATTTAAAACAGGTTTGGAAAGCACTCTATTTAAGTCTGGTTCATCAAGCTGGCCCAAGCGTTGTCCCACAGGGTACTCCCAACACCTTGCAATAATCGATGAAAATTGTGAGATCAACTATTGTGTCAAAGCAAATGCACTATCAGTTCAAGGCCTTCCTCCAGTTAGAAGACCTCCTTTCCGATCACCACCCAAAATGAACCACAACATTACAATACCTCTATCAATATTCAATGATGATTTTGGTACAGTTTGGTTTAAGGAACCTCGCTCTCTTCGGTGGATGCTTGTCAATAAAGGGTAATTAATTATCAACTAGACATTAATAAACAATTAAGAAAAGAAAAAAATAATAGTTATCTGTCATATATGTAATTGGCGTTTCTTTTCGATCTAAATTTCATGTAACACTTTTTTGTTGACCTCATATAAAAACGAAGAATATATATAGTCAATTGACAAAGTATTGTCGTAGGCCGGACTTCCTAGCAAGCGACCAACCCGAACAGGTTTCTGGGTAAAAATCAAAGAACTGGCAAATTAGGCAGAACAACACCTTCTAATATAGTGTCAATTTGTTTCGGCTTTTATTCTCTTTTTCAAGAACTCGAAGACAAACATTGTAAGTCGTATCCCCCGCTATGTTGGAAAACAATGTGAGATGCAAAAATCAACATCACATGCATGCATAATTAAATTCACGTGATTTGGAATTTTTTTCACACATTATGTGTCAGTTCTTCCAATCACAAAGTCGTTCAAATCTCTAATTTGCCAGGTCATTGATTTTTACCCAGAAACCAGTTCGGGCTAGTCGCGTTTCGTGAAACCCAGTCGACGACAACCTTTTGTCAATCGACTATATATAAATCAAGTCAGCGTGAGGCATAAGACATAAGCGCAGTAATTTAAGCTCCAGACATGGTCTAATCAAAGATAAAACTAAACAAGCAAACTAAACATCTTTTGTAACTCTAAAATGACATGAAAATGAGCGCTAGAATTACGTCTAACTATTTAATTTTGCAGCACTGTAATGAAGTATTTAGCAGAAAGGGACATTAGTAAAGGAGCGCTCGAGAACTTGAAGTCTTCATATGAAAGGGTTGATCCTCAAATCAAGACTTCTAAAGGACCGAAAGAGACTGCAATGTCAGATGGGGAGGTAGTGGGTGTAACAATTGGCGTTATCGTATGCGTGGCAGTGCTGATCGTGGCAGTAGTTACAATACGTCGCAGAAAGCGTAATGGAGGCACAAATAAATATACTTGTTCTCTTTTGACTCCTACGAACTATCATTCAATGGGAGACTCTGAGTGCAATACTCAGGTAATCGGAAGTAAGTAAACTCTTGGCGAGTAGTTTGAGTAGTTTAAATTGTGCTGTGGAAGGCAAAGTCAGATTTGAATTAGTAATGATATTGACAAAAACTCAAGATAAGAAAAAAGTAATGATAACGAAAACGATGACGATAGCGATAATAATGGTGAGAATAAGAATGATAAAAATGATTATAATAATAAAAACTCATCAAGATTAGAATACGACGTTTCAGAGTTTTTCCCTTGAGACTTGTGAAAAAAACAAAGTTAGTGTCACTTTCTAAACGATGGGTTTGAAGTTGAAAACTGCATGTGTGAGCTCACTGAATCTGTATTAAAAATCTATATTGTGTATGAAGCATTTTAATTCTTCAGTAAAATTTGTTTTGATGATTGTTTAACTTGAAAACCTTAGACAAATCCAAAAATATCAAGTGTCATTAGAAGGTACATCTGTTTGATGATGGCACATAACACTAGAAGTAAAATTATCAATTACAAATTAAAGAAAAACAAGAAAAGAACAATGTACTAGATCTGTCAGTTAGTCAAAGAAGACTGGTATATGTATTACTATCATCTTTCTTTACCCTAAACAATCATCCCCTTATGTTTTGACCTCTTCTATAAGAATTTGACCTTAATCAATGACAAGCTTTGGGCCCCTTCACAGCCAAGATGTCAATGTATAAGTCTTTATAGGCAAGCTGGTTATTTGGCTCATGTTTTCTTTATTTCATCCTCTCAGAAATGGTAATAATAAAGACACATTATCAATAAACCATTGTTCTACTATTGTATTTGTGATGTTTACATAGCAGTAGTATCAAAGAAGAATTACCTGTGGTATTACGTCATTGATCCCTTGCCTCGCGGCCTCGCGGGTCTCTCGGGATACAAACTAGTCTGTGACAAGGTATGAAACACTAGTCACGTGAAAAATATAATTTTGCTCCTTTTTCACCGAAAATCAGCAGAAAAGGACAATTTTCGTTCAAATAACACATCGCTAGGTATAGTTTTTAAAGTACATGATACGTTTGAACTTGAATTTGAGAGACCTTTTTTTGTCAATGCAAATGATTTCCACGCTGTACACTGTTGTAATCAATAAAATGTGAACACAATCCTCTATTTATTTCCTTGACTTGTTTATTTAAAAACATATTTTTTTCATTTAGTAGTTTCCCCCCTTTTTAACTCGAAGATTGCGAAGCAATCGAAGAGTTATAGGAGGGAGATAGATGATGGTGTGTGAGGTGGACTAGTTAATAATTATAATAGTTAATAATTTTTTCCCGTAAACATACGGGCATTTAGAAATCCGTAACCAAGATGGACAGGTGTTTTCATACAGAAATGGCTTTTTAAACACACAAAATGTGATTTTTTGAGGTCTAGACGTTCTTGCATAACAAGCCGCAATTAAAAGTTAGAGTCACTGTTGTCTTTGAAAGTCGCGTTTTTTGCATTTTTGTGGGGGATTAACGACACCAAAGACAAGTAAATCCCTTGCTTTCTCAGCGGGAATTCTTGAAAATATATGTCATCAATTAGGGTTTGCTGGAAAAGAAAACTGATCTAACATAGGGCACGACGAAGTTTGTAAAACTCGTGATTACCTACAAACTATTGAGAAATATTAGGCATTGCTAANAGAAGAAGAGAAAGAGAGCGTCGAAGAAGTCTAAGTGAAGAACAACGCAGGCTTGAAAGGGAGAGAAAACGTGATAGACGAAACAATTTAAGTTAATAAAGACTCAAGCAAATCGAGAAACGAAGTGAACGCCAAATACAACGATTATTGAGGGAGAATTTCTCATAGGAGAATATCTGACATATTCTCCGACGATACCGTGGCGTTATTAAACAAATGGCGGTATGTTAGATTATACGTGCAAGCGGTTTTTGGTGCTCAATTATATCAATTCTTCTACTTCAAGAACCTTGGGCAGTTTTAGTCTGGTTTAAATTTGCTTTTGAATTTGAAAATCTTTACCTGATACACTTCAAAACTTCTCAGTTAAATGAGCTTGTTGACAATGAAAATATGTGTGAATTGTGTGTACATTCTATCCACAATAATAATCTTATTTGACATAAAACTACTCGGATGTTTTAATAAGTATAAAACTATGCATTTTGAAAAGAGAGCCTTGATATTATTTGAATGTTCAGATTTTTAATCTTTATTCTTCAATAAACTCTTTAATACAAACTGTCAACAAATACAGAGAGCAAAGATAAGCAAAGAATTTGAGAAGTTGAAAAATGGATAATCATTATGAACATTAAGCTTATGATTCCTTTAATTGTTTACAAAACTGCCAAAATGTATTATCATTTATGATCACTGTATGTCAAAAATGTATTGAGGTAATTAGTGTCATTCCTGTGTGATTAAATTATTATAAGGTATGTTTCCTGTATGATTGAAAAACCACCAAAACTGTCAAATTCAAATGACCCATAAATCATTTTTTTGGATCACTGTATGATTGACAAATATCAACTGCCAAAATGTATTTATTATTATTTATCATTCCTGTGTGATTAAATAAAGGATATTACATGGGTGCATGGAAATATTGTGCTAACTCGTGGGATAAATAAATTCAAAGCTTGAAGATAAAATTCATATCTTCAAGTGACAGCTGTAATGTTYTGTTTATTAAATGACATTGGTGTAAGCAAAAGTGTGTAACATTTTCATTATAAGATCAAAAATTTTGAACATTTCAAGAACATCTTAATTATTAATTTATGATTTATGCATGATTGAATAATACCAAAACTGTCAAAATGCATTTATATTATTTTATGATTCCCGTAAAGATTGAAAAATACCAACTATTAAGAATTTACAAAAAAAAATCCAAACAATTTCAATCTATTGACATATAAAGATGCATTTGTTATTATTTTTATTACCGTATTTCTGCATGATTGAAAAATTTCAACTGTCAAAATGCATTTAACAATAAATATAAATCATGTATGATTGAAAAGTCAAAGTTTCAATTTATGATTTCTGTAATATTAGAGTACAAACATTAAATGTGTGCTATACTTTCCACTATTTAGTACAAAATTATGTTAATTAAACAATAGAATTAGCATAATTTAGCAGTATTTAGTGGTATTTATGTTGCATAGTTTTAATGTTTGTACTCTATCTAAAGAAGTTTTATAATTATTTAATGTAGTTCAATGGAATTTTTTTGTTAGAAAAAATAAATTAGTCTTGACAAAACATGTACTAAAAATCTGACCAATRTGTCTTGCATCCCATCTTTATCCAACATGCATATCTTTTGGGAGCTCCGCTATTAGGTTTTACCTAATTTTTATATTATAAGCTTCTTACCAATCGTGTCAATATGGCTCATAGATACAGCATTCTATTATGATGATTTCAAGGATTATTCCCATCCTTTGTCGATCAGTATTTAATGCTCATCGATTCATATAAACTTTTATTTATCCTTCGTAAAAAATCGATGCACGGACGACACTACAACAAGTAAGAACTCAAAATATAATATATGGTCGATATCGTCAAAGGTGTTACGGATGCATTTAAATTATKAAATTCAAAATTTTATCGTTTTTAATCGTTTTCAGCGATTTTACTCTGGAACTGGGTATCCTTTTTAGCGATTTTACTCTGGAACAGGGTATCGAYTTCAACAAATTTTCTCTGGAACAGGGACAGRGTTTAATTCCGGAATTATTGATGCTGTGTAAAAATTTACGGGGTTAAAATTTCGGTCTACGCGCAAGCTAGTACAGGATTTTCTCTGGAACATGATATCATTTGGCAGCGATTTTACTCTGGAACAGGGTATAGTTTTCAGCGATTTCACTCAGGAACAGGGTTTAGTTTTCAGCGATTTTACTCTGGAACAGGGTATAGTTTTCAGCGATTTCACTCTGGAACAGGATCAGGGTTCTGACGTCCCAGCGGCACACCCCTACCCAAGTTTGGGGGAAGTACCCCCCCCCCCCCCCCCCCCAAATACTAACAATCTTCGAGTTGTGTCGCCATTGGCGGCTTGATTCAGTTTGAAGTTTAAAGTGCTACTTGCATGAAAATGGTCTTATTTCCATCAAAGGATTTGTATCAATATCTTCTTGAAATCTGTTGCTCCACGATTATTAGACCCACATGGATAGGTCTATTTGATTTCCAAGTCTTTTCTAATGTTTCGCAATTTTCGTCCAAGTAGCCCTTTAAAACTAAGTAAACCAAAAACAGCTAGAAAGCTAATCGGGATACTTCGCCTTACATTCGGAGACTATTCGTCTTTTTCTCGCCCGCTCGATTTCCGATGTCTGCCCAGCTACCTGGTGCACACATCGATCCATCACGTGACCAGTGTTTCGTACCTTGTCACAGACAAGTTTGTATCCCGCGAGGCCCGAGAGGCAAAGGATCAATGACGTAATACCACAGGTAGCCCGCAGCGCGCTCCGATTCACGATAACATAATATAAGCGCATTCATTCTTTTGTTTCTCTCAAGTAATGGTTGGGTAGCCTATGGTCATGAAGTAAATGGTAAATGTACACATGTAGTAATATAATTAGGCATCGTTTAGTAACATCGACCTCGAAATGTTCGAAAGACAGTTTCTTTAAGTGTACAATATTTACGCTTAAATATTATTAACTGTTATATAAAATACTACTTTCCTTTTATATACCACCAGGACTCATTAGAATAAGGATACCAATATCAAGACTTATGCTTTGCAAATGGTTTGATAATGTTTTCTTGTCTATGAAAAATGTGGAACGGTGTTAATTCTGAAAATTCTTACGTGCTGTTGAGCACTCACGACAGATTTAGCATTCTTTTGGCTGAAGAGTTGAGCTTGTTTGAATCAAGTTATCATAAATATCTATGTGTAGTTCTATAGAGTGAACGCACTAAATCCGTGAAACAAATACTACTAATTACTACTAAATAGTGTTGATTAACAATAGAAAACAAAGGAATTAGCATAATTTAATATTATTTTGTACTATTTAAGCTTCATGGATTAAGTGTTCACTCTATAGCTGTATCATTATAAGTTATGAAATAAACTATTGCAGTGCAATCGATCCACATCTTAGGAATTTATTATTGCTAAAGATGTGCACAAATAATTCACTACATTTTAACGGTACAAAGTGGCTTCGTGTTATAAATCTAGCCCGAGACTCACAGTAATTTATATAAAGTTTGAAAGATATTTGTGTTCATTGTAAATATATCTACTTGGTTTTGTTTGGAAAAATGTGGAAGATAAGTAAAAACATCAATTATGTTCAGAATCGAAGCTTTCGCAGCTACTACAATGTTATTCTACCCGTATTCTAGAGTCCATGGTCGTTATAACGCAACGGTTGCGCGCATGCTCATGCATAACGGCYTCTTGTTACACCTAGCACTGTATGCCAAGTGAAATTAACAAGTAAATTAACATTTTCTTGAGGCTTGTTACGAAAGACATTGTTAGCATTGGTCCCATGAGACTGACGAGAAAAATAGTTATGTTAACGAACCCTTTGGGAATTGCTAGTAAGTGGTTTTCCTTCGAAAACAATGAGAGTGTGCGCGGTCGGTCATTATTTTCAATAAGCCTCGGATCTCATCCATTATCCTATACTTAAATAAACTTCATTTAGCGAGGTTAAAACACGACAATAACAGTGCTGCAGACACATAAAATCAAAATGGCTTGCAACTATTAGTCTATTTAGGAAGTAAAAGAGGTTATCACTGAACCAGATTGAATGACAAAAAAAAAACAAACAAAAGCAAAACAAAGCAAAACAAAACAAAACAAAACAAAACAAAAAACAATAACAGCAAAGTGCATCAGCAACTTTTGATCGTCCTTTTGGATAAACAATTGTTTAAAACTAAAAATAATAATGCATATTTTGCTTTGTTCTATGTCATTTAATAGCATTTAATTTTTATTATGTTCCCCTTCTTTTGAATCACGTTACATGTCCAGCTACGGTATAGAAATAAATCAGTTTTTAACGTTGTTAACACATTTCAATTTCAGGAATTGTTCACCCGATCCTCCTGTTTAATGGGACTTCTAAAACTATTTAACGATTAAGTTCTGATATGAGTTTTCGGAAGTTAGCGTTTTTTGAATGCAATGCAATGAGCTCGTTAGGCATGACATAAATTTGAATAGCTTTTGTTTCAGATGAGCGTCTGGGAACTGAATGAGCATAAATGGTGATTAATATATTAAAAATTATGAAAACCTTAAATCATCAATGAAGATGCTATAATCCTTATAAGTCTTGTGTTCTCATTTTTCTCTGGCGAATAATAAATGTGTCCCAAGTCTTTCAAATAACTGCAACTCGGACTGAGCTTCATTTCAAGTCTACGTAATTCGTTACTAATTTCACAGAGCCGTCAATCTCTCATTGTTGAACCTTAAACCGCAATACATCATGTTTTTTCAAGTCTTTGTATTGAAAACAACACAACTAATTGAAGTTTTAGAAGCTAACAAAGTAATCATAGCTATTGTGAACAATTGTTTTTCAGTTGCTTTCAGTTTATAATTGCCATAAAATAAAGACYTAAATACCCTAGGGACTTCCTTCTTTGATTGTGCTAACAATTAAAAAGATTTGAAAGACCCGTTTTTTCTCAGTGCTTGGACTATAATATCCAAAGAAGGAAAAAGATAATGGATTCTATGTAATAAGATAATGGATCTGTTCTATTTGTGCGATCAATAACATGCACTCTAGGAAGTAGGCAATATCTTTCCTAGTGATGGCTATAAACTTAAGCGTATACCTTAGGGATTTCATTGGTAACACTCTACATGTTATTCAATGTTTATGGGAGCGGATGTTCGAGGTTATTTACGCGATTATTGTCCAAGTATTTGATTCTGGAAAAATGCTGGTATTTAGTATTACATAACATTATTGTTTTCCATGCCGACTGCGTTATGTAAAATACTCGTGCTTGGTTCATATTACATCACCCTTTTGTTGGAAACCTCCATATATACCATCACTCACAGACTTGAAGAACAAGCATCACAACGATAGAAGATCGTGGGAGACGGTGAAGAAAAAGCCTTTCTCTTCAGTCAAACACCGGGAGATGAGTTATCAAAACCTGTCATCGCATAGACAAGTTGAAAAGCAAGTAAGACAGTATGTTCAGTTACAATTAGTTTGAACATTTTTATGTATTTTTTCTCTTCATTTACTTCAACAGCTCGCACAGAACAATCATCGACATGCGAAAACATCCTCATGCTCCCAGCAAATAGTTTGGCASTAAAGCACAAGGCATGTAAGGTAAAAACTGCAATTCTGGAACATAATAATTCTTGTAGAATTTTATATTTCTTCCGTCGCATAAATTTACTGAAATTTTTATTCTAAACCGACAAAAAGCCATGTGAAAGTTTATGAATTTAGTAGAATGTTCGTTTCTTTCCGTAATTGTTATCATAGCTAACGTTTCTGTTTCATTTCGTTGTAGGATGATACTCGTATGCACTCAAAAGTACTGCTAAACATACTGACAATAAAGAACTATGTTGTATTGTGTCAAATGATTATTCAACGGTCATCACAAGAACGATTTCTCGAAGTAAACATAGGAAACGTTTTTTTCTGGACTTATTTTGAAACAAGATAAGTGCCTTCTTGAGATGTAAAGTTGAACATGATTTAGTTTTTGTTGCTTCTGACTTCAGTTGMAATTTCAATCGTTAAACATTAAAAACAAAAAAACGTCGTAGACCAGCATTGATATCGAAAAGTTTAATAGTGCAAGTGAAAGAAATTGAAAGAGAAAAAGCACTATTAAACTTTTTGTAAACAAAACTGTTCTTCGATTTATGTTTAATATGAAATGTACAACGTTCGAAAAATCAGCTGAATTCATAAACAGCAAAAGACTACATGTGATGAGCTTCACATTTGGACAAGGCATTTATGTTTTTCAAAATACAAGAGGCCCAGCTAGAACCTATCTCGGGCTTCCTATCTCGGGCTTCCTATCTCGGGCTTCCTATCTCGGGCTTCCTATCTCGGGCTTCCTATCTCGGGCTTCCTATCTCGGGCTTCCT